CACGCACACACGCACACGCACACACGCACACGCCCACACACACACACGCACGCTCGCACGCTCGCACACACGCACACACACACACACGCACGCTCGCACGCTCGCACGCTCGCACACGCACACGCACACGCACACGCACACGCACACGCCACACACACACACGCACGCACACACGCACGCACGCGCACGCGCACACGCACACGCGCACACGCGCACAGGCACAGGCACAGGCACAGGCACAGGCACAGGCACCGGCACAGGCACCGGCACAGGCACAGGCACAGGCACAGGCACAGGCACAGGCACAGGCACAGGCACAGGCACAGGCACAGGGCACAGGGCACAGGGCACAGGCACAGGGCACAGGCACAGGCACAGGCACAGGCACAGGCACAGGCACAGGCACAGGCACAGGTACAGGTACAGGCACAGGCACAGGCACAGGCACAGGCACAGGCACAGGCACACGCACACGCACACGCACACGCACACGCACACGCACATGCACACGCACACGCACACGCACACGCACATGCACACGCACACGCACCTGCACACGCACACGCACACGCACGCCCACACACTTGTTTGGCGCGTTGGCACCTCACGCGGCACCAGAAGTTCGAGCGCACAGGAACCACCACGCTGCGCCAGCATCGAGGTGCAGCCCAGAGAAGGGACGGGCAGGGACGGCTACAATCGGGACCGGCTCTGTACAGTGGAAGTGGCAGCGTGAGGACGTGCACTTGGTATTTAGGGCGCAGTGGCCGAAACGGGGAGGGAATTTTGATCCCCAGAGGGATGCACAGACGATGGGACAGTGACAGCGGGGCAGCCAACACATCCAGCAAACCCGAGCACATGCAAATAAACATGATGTGCTTTCTTAGAGGCCTCCTCGATGGGTCCGAGTAGATGGGGTCGGAGGATATCGTCGCATCGCCGATACATCGGCGATGCATCACCGATGCATCGGCGATGCATCGGCCATGCACTGGCGACGTCGGCGATGCATCGGCGACGTCGGCATGGAGAAAAAATGGGCCCCACATCGAGCCGCATCGCTGATGCATCGCCGATGCATCGGCGATGCGGCGCGATCCTCCGACCCCAGCTGCTTCGACGAGGCCTAGATCTCTGTGTCTGGGTCTGGCAACATCTGGGTTTGCCGTGCCGCCGTCGGCGTGGAGCTTGATTGTGGCAAAGGTCGTGGGGATAATGTTTCCGGCCTTTCGACGAACCTCGCAGAGCTCCGAGATGCGTCGGAGGACTCATTGTGGGACCTCGGGGAACTTGGGGGGACTTTGGGGGTTCTCGGGGGGCCTTTGGGGCCTATTAGTTTGCCCTGACCCATGGATTTTTGGTTTTTGGAAGGCACATGGCGGTGCAGAGCGCGTTCCCAGAGAAGAGGCACGTGAAGGACACCATATTGGACATCTTCCGGTTACAGGTGCTGATCGTTCTGGTGTGCTTGTGCGTTTCTGTCGCGCGCGAGGCTTGGAGCCCAGGCAGTCAGGATTTGGCGACCATGACAGTTGTGTGCGTCATGGTGAATTTTGTATTGACTGCTGTAAGCATGTTCTTTTCGCTACATTTGTTCATTGGCCACCTTCGGGTAGCTGAGGACATCGTGAAGGTGTCTTCTGGACGGCGACGAATGGAAGCCAAGTGCGTCGTGAGTTCCGTGCAGAGACAAGTCATTGCGCACGCACTGGCGTTCGCGTTTGACATCGCAGCTGTCATCCCAGCGGTTTCCTCCACCCCGCCGACCCGCTAAACGAATGGGCTCTTGGAGATGCTTGTTCTCGCTCGCGTACCCTGGGAATGGTAGAGCGGGGAGGGCAGGAAGAGCAGCATGATGCGGAGGAGGAGGAGGAGGAGGCGGTAGGAGCAGGATGATCGTGGATGATCGTGGATGGTCGCGGTCTACGTCAGAGGCCCTCCGTAGAGAATGGGCTTCAAACCGCGGGTGGCCAGAGGCGTCCACGTTCGCAATCCCCACGCTGTAGTCAGTAATGCGGCCAAGCGATGAAGACCTGCCGGAGGTTGGCAGCGCCCCACCGGTCGGGGCTCAATGGACGGGGGTCAATGCAAACGGGGTTAGCCAGATCGCCGGATTGTGCATGATCTTGCAGAGCCCAGCTTGCATTGACCTGGGTCATGGCGCAGGATCCTGCAGGATATTACAGGATCCTGCAAGACCTGACTGACCTGGGTCTGGACAGACCCGGGTCAGTAGATCCCCGAATGGGGAAGCGGACGTCTGAAAAGAGGTTCCCGATTCGCCGTCGTCATTGCCGTCGAGGGCTCCAGGCCGCAACCAGCGACCTCGACGAGACAGAATTGTCTGACGATGCCGCTGATCTCATCAAAAGGGCCAGCTCTCCAGGTTTCATTTCGACTCCTCCGATTCGTTACGGTTCGACTGGGATGGCTTCCAATGCCGATTCGATTCGACTTAGGATGCCGATTTGAAAGTTCCGATTTGTCAGCGGAGGCCTGCCGTCCTGTCGATTCCCGCCGACTCGACTTTTCCCCACTCGGCTGCCGAGTTCCGCCGATCCGATGCATTTCGATCGCCGATCCGACTCGATTCTGGGCTCTCTTACCTTCCTCCATCGCATGCGGGCCGTCCACGAGTGCGCTGGACCGAGGAGTGGAGGATGTGTGTGTGTGTGTGTTCGCTGGGGCTGAAACCTTTTTTTTAATCCGGGCCGATGACGGCCGTCATTTGGGGGGCGGGATTGGGGACCGATGACGTCACGTTCCGCGCCGGCGGCGTCTGGGAGTGCCTAGGCATGACCGAAGACGGGTAGCAGCAGCATGTAGGTGGCGATCTGCACCACAGCGTCTTTGTACACCACAGTGCCTGCGTGCACCACAGCGCCTGTGTACACCACATCACCTATGTACAGCACATGAGCACAGTGCCCGCGTGCACCACAGCGCCTGTGTACACCACGGCGCCAGTGTGCGCCACAGCAACCGTGTGCAACAGAGTATCATTGTTGCATATAAAGATTGGGAGCGCCTGTGGATTCCACAGAAAACAATGTGTATACCTCTATATGTATATATGGAAAGAAACCCTTATGGGACAAAGAACACCGCTGGAATCTACGAGTCCTCCCGGGCCCTCCCGCATCATCCTGACTCCTCCCATATGCGTCCAAAAGGCTCCCGCAGAATTGACCGTCGGAGAACCAAGTGGACTGATTCAATAGACCATTCTGCGGTGCACGCTGAGATGCGCACGTGCGCTGTAGCGCCGACCCGCACGCGGGGGGGAAGGGTGAGGGAGGGAGGAGGAGGAGGAGGGGGAGAAGAGGAAGAGGTGGAGGATGAGGCGGCGAAGGAGGAGGAGGAGGCGGAGGAGGAGGGAGGAGGGAGGAGAGAAGAACATCGCGTGGTATTATCAGCACTTCCCTGGCGTGGTGTTTAGCTTTCCGCAGCTGATCCTCATTTACATGCTCCTTCTCCCTGCCCTGTGCATAAGCACTATGGTGATGGTGTACACCAGCTCTGCGTTGCACCTGGATGCTGTGGTGTACACAGGCGCTGTGGTGTGCACAGGCGCTGCGGTGCACGCAAGCATTGTGGTGTACACAGGCGCTGTATTGTACACGGTTGATGCGGTCACATTCGATGTGGTGTACACAGGGCTTGTGGTACACTCAAGTACCGTGGTGTATCGAGGCGCCGCGTTTCACACAGCTGCTTCGGTGTACGCACGATGTGGTGTACACGCGCGCTGTGGTGCACGCGAGCATTGTGGTGTACGCAGGCGCTGTGGTGCAGATCGCCACCTACATGCTGTTCCTACTTAGCCGCGGTCATCTCTATGCATTCCTGTACGCCACCAGCGCCGAACGTGACGCCATGTGGGGGTGGGGTGGGCGATAACGGCCGTTATCGCGGGAAATTTGAAAAAGAGGCTCCTGGGGCCTCGAGGCGCATGTGCCCGAACGCCGCTGGGATCCCTGCGTGGCCTCCCGTGGCATTCGTGGTAACCCATGTGTCGGTGGCGTCCCCGGGGGGGGGGGATCGAGAGGGGGCGGGGTTTCTCAGAAGGCTCAGAGGGCGGCGGGCTTCTCAGAAGCCTTCCCGTTTTCTCAAATGCCTAGTTTGGCTTCGGAGAAGGCTCAGAAAGCTTCCGAGGATGCCCGGAGCTGTCTGAGGCTTTGAGAAGAAACTGACCGTCCCGCTGCCTTCCCCCTGGGTGCGCCGCCAACATTGGCTACGCATGGTATCTCACGTGGGCTCTTTTCGGCCCTTCCTGAGGCCGCGAGCTCTCCACTGGTCTGAGCCTGAGGCCGCTCCCTTGGGTTGCTTTGTGTGCTGAGCCTGTGGTGGCTTCCTTGGTTCGTCTGGAGGCATCTTGAAGGCTTGCTGGGAGCTCTGAGATCTGTTGGAGAATTCTTGGGTTTCGCCGCTTGTGTCGAATCCAATGTAAATTGCGCCTTTCCTGAATTACACTGCATCTGCCCCCCTCTACAGCCTTGTACATCGGACGGTCTGGCGGGTTGCCGCGGAGCCTGTGCAGGACAGAAGCCGCGGGCCTTCTAGCTTTCTCAGGGGGGACTGCAGTCTCTCTCCTGACTGGACCCCGTTGAACTTCCCTGGAGCCTTCTTGAGCTGTCTTCTGGCCGCCTCGAGGTCCGGGAGGCACATCTGAAGAAGACAAACAACGATAACCCTATGCACATCGCGTGCGGTTGTATGGTTTTAGCCTCTCTGGGGCTTCCTTGGGATCCCCCTTGGGCGACCTTGGAGCTGCATTGGGGCCGCCGTGGAGGCCACAATTAGTTGATGGGCTGCATCGGAGGCCGTATTGTACCATATGTTCGGGGAATCGTACAATTCGAGTAAGCCTGAGCTCGAGTTTGCCGACGTTTTCTGACGAGCGCGTCCTGGATTTTGACGGTCCGGTTTCCCTGGGATGTTTGCAGCGGGAGGTCGCGCCACATTTCGGATTGGGTCTCGTCATTTTCGTGATGGCACCGTCAGGCCAACCCGAGCACCCCGTGCCCGAGTCTCACGTCTCCCCGATATTGGAATCTTCGACGGGTCTTACGTACCAGAGTCTTACCTCTTACGTCTCCTGGGTTCGGATGGTTTTTCGGGAAAGCGTAACGTTCCCTCATCAAACACCAATGGCCGTCCTGGGGTCTCAGGGTCGGGTTTCTTGTGGATGGTCTCTTGCGGTCTGGCCCCTCTCTTGCGGTCTCTTGTGGTCTTGTGGATGGTTTCATGCGGAACCCTTGCAAACTCCCAGTCTGACACGGATGCCCGATGTGGGGGGGGGGCTCGTTCTTGTGGATGGTTTCTTGTGGATGGTTTTTCTTTGCATCCCATGTGTGTTCGTTGTGGTGGATGGTTTCCTCTCGACTTGCCCTTGAGGGCCTCCTGGGGCCCCGCCGTGCAGTGCCGGGAGACTCCGTGGGGGGGGCTGGGGGCAGGCCTGGTCGCCCGCCGCTCCCCCTGTCGAGCGGGCTCTTTGGACTCCTTGGGGAGGGGGAGGAGGAGCGAGGAGCGAGGAGGAGGAGGAGGAGGAGGAGGAGGAGGAGGAGGAGGAGGAGGAGGTGTTGAAGGAGGAGGAGGAGGAGGTGTTGGCGGAGGAGGAGGAGGAGGAGGTGTCAGGTGGAACCCAGGACCCCCCCCCTCGAGCAGAATTTTTGGACCATCCTCGAGCAGGATTTTGGACGCCTCCCTGCTCTCGAGCAGGATTTTGGACCCCTCCCTTCATTTTTGGACCCTTCTCGAGCAGGACTGTGTGCCGCTTTTACGTGTTTCGCCGATCGGCGCGAGCTCCCGCCCCCCTCCCCCTCCCCCCCCCAATGGACCAGATCTCGGCTGTTTTGGGCGCCTGTTTTGGGCGAGTGCTCGGGACCTCTCCCCCCGGTCTGCTTGCGCGAATGGCAGAACCAGATCGACTGAGCACCGGCCCAGGCCCAGACTCCTTTCCTCTGCTACCCTTATGAAGTCGGGCCTGTCCCTCTACAGGGGAGGAATATTCAATAATGGTTAAAATTTGTCTGGGGACGATGTTTTTAGGATTGTTTTTGACTACTTTGGGGTGTTTCTTTCAGTATTTTTTGATTTTTCGCCCTGAAACCGCCTGTAAGGGGACATGCCCGACCTAGCCCTACCCTTCGGTGAACTGTCGGCACCCAGAACGAAGCATCGACTGCGCAACCCGTGGCGATTTTGGCCCCCCTGGGGCAGGTCGACCATCCCGTACAGTGAGTGGCTTGAATGAATTGCTTTTCAGAGGGGGCTCGGTCGTTCCTTAGGTTTGCATACGTTTTTGTTATCGTTCCTTCTACGTGATCTATGATGTACCGTTCCTTATTCGTTACCCTTTCGAGAAAAAGGGGCTTTGTTCCTGATTTCTCTTTCCGTAGGTCAGGCCGATGACTGTATGCCTTCTCGCCCGCGGCAAGCGGGGGTCGGCGGACCCTCGAGTCTCTGGCCGCGCTGGAGTGGTCGTGGTTCCCTGGCCGCGAAACGCCGACCTTCGTGATGTTTCAGGAGCTCTTTCTCGGTGCAGATCTGATCGCCAACTCCTGCCTGGTCCTCAGCTACTGGGGGCTCGTGCCCAGGCCAGCCATTCGGGGCCGAAGGGCCAGCCGCCAGACGCACCTGAATCAGGAGCCGCGGCTGCCGCAGCGCTCCGATTCCGAGTGGGACCGCAAGGTTGGGGAGTTGGCCAACAGGGGAATCACTCTCAGGGCGCTCTTGCATTTTTACATGGACCTGGGGGTGAGGAACATGCCGCACTTTGATCCCGATGCCCACTCAACGGAAGACGTGGCCCGCCAGGCCATCATTCCCCTCACCGCTGCCGATCCGACATTCGGGCCGTGCGCGCTGGCCACGAAGCTCATGGAAGGGCGGCCCACATTGGCGCAGCGTATGGTCACGCACACGTGGCGCAACAAGTTCGCAGACCTCATAGCCGCCATCGTGGCAGACGCACTGGATCAGACCACGTATGAGGCAATTCTGCCCAGATTGAAGCCGCATCTGATAGGATGCTTAGTCGAAGAGCTGGAGACGGGCGGCCGGCTAGAGATAACGTACTGGGTGTGCGTGGCAAGTGTGAACCAGCACGCGTCGATCTGCGCTCACGTGCCACGGGTGCCACAGGAGAGCACCGGTGGTGTGCTTATTCCAGGGCACCCAGTCTGCACCTGCAGCCATCCCAAGTGGCTCAATGATTCGTCGCCTCGCAATTGCGATGGTGAAAGTATACTCTGCGAGATGAACAAGTTCGACGCCATGATGATCCTTCTCGCCGAAGGCAACCATGATTTTAGGCAGGTGATCGCGTGCGACTGCGAGTTCCAGGTGTTCACGAGAAGTTGGTGCATCGCGGAGATCTACATGGCGCACGAGCACTGCATGAAGGCCTCCCTCATCGTGCACTCTGCCAGAATGATGGCACGCCATCGTGATGTGGTAGAGCAACTCGATGTGCGAAATATGTCGGCCTCTCGACCCGAGGATAAGGCAGCTATCATGCGAAACATTGCTGATCCTATTGCATTCAATGAAACAGTGAAATGGATTTTGTTTGACGAAGACAAGGGCCTATTCAAGGGCCAAGGAACATTGCACACCGCGGCATTGCTGGGGCGCATCTCTAGCACGCGTTACAGGGCCGCGGAGACTACTGTAGGCGAAGAGCTGGGGGATTCTGCGGACACGAAACGCCCAGTCTTTCTTGCAGTCTGAAGGCGGCTTGCACATGCGAATTCGAGCCACGTACAAACGGTGGCGCCGTTGCCCCACGAGCAATGTTGTACTGACAATTTGGGAGGAAGAGGAGACGTAAGGACGATAAGGACGGATATCATTAATCAAGCGAAGAACAGCACAATCACTGCATGGGAGACGGCCTCGAACGCCTGGTCGGGGGTCGCGTCTGTAATCCAAGAGCAAGCAGGTCGTCAGGCTTACCCCCCAACCGCTTTCGTCGGCGGCGCGCCCAGAGGGGGGGAAGGCAGAGGGGCGAGCCTTCGCAGACAGAATGCTCAGACGGCCTCCAGCCTTCTGGCAAGCTGTTCAGCCCTTCTCCGAAGCCGCAAGGGAGCTTCCGACGAGCACCGCCGCCATCCGAGAAGGCCTGACCCTTGCCGTCGCCCCCTTCGGCGCGTCGCCGACTCTTCTCCCCCGATGCCAGCGCTTGGGCCGACTGAGCTGACTGGTCGATTGGCCTCCGCGTATTTTGCATTGTCGGTTTCGTTTTTGTTGTTGGTGCTGTTTTTTGTTCGCTTGGTCAGTCATCATTCACACATGCGCACACACGTTGATGTTCGAATGCGTTTCTGTAACGATGTCTACGCGTCTGACACGTGGCGCTATATATATATATATATATACATACATATTTGTAGTTACATGTATGTATGTATGCGTGGATGTATGTATGCATGTATTCATATATGTGTACATGCTCATGCTTTTCCACCTTCAGTTATATATGTGCAAGCATATAGGCTCCGTTCTATACATACATCCACGCGCATATGTATTAATATATATATATATATATATATATAATATAATATATATATATATGCACAGATGTGTACATACCGCACATACACACAAGCATACATACTATCACATATACGGTCCAGGGCTTGGGCCCCCCTCCCCAATGCTGATGCCATAGGGCCCCCCCCCCGCGCGATGGTCCCCCCCCGCCCCCCCCTGTGGGCGTGGCGTGGTGCTGCGCTGCGGTGCCCCCCCCCCCCCCCCCCCTGTGGATGTGGTGTGGTGCTGTGGTGGTTCAGAGGTGGCGTGGCGTGGTGCTGCGCTGCGGTGCCCCCCCCCCCCCCTGTGGATGTGGTGTGGTGCTGTGGTGGTTCAGAGGTCGTCGTCGTCGTCGTCGTCGTCGCCGTCCTCGTCGTCCTCGTCGTCCTCGTCGTCCTCGTCGACCTCGTCGTCGTCGTCGTCATCGTCGTCGTCGTCGTCATCGTCGTCGTCGCCGTCGTCATCGTCGTCATCGTCGTCGTCGCCGCCGCCGCCGGTGTCGTCGCCACCGCAGCCGTCGTCGTCGTCGTCGTCGTCGTCGTCGTCGTCGTCGTCGTCGTCGTCGTCGTCGTCGTCGTCGTCGTCGTAGTCGTCGCCGTCGCCGTCGTCGTCGTCGTCGTCGTCGTCGTCGTCAACTCTGGGACCATGCCATCTGGGGGGGGGGGGCCGAGGCATCCTGGGACCATACCATCTGGGGGCGGGGGGGGGGCCCGTGGGCCCGAAGCCCGGGACCATATATGGGAACGTCTCGTTTTGTTCTGATCAAAAGGTTTTGTCTCCCGGATGCCCCGCCGGTGCCGGGAGCATTGTTGCAGCAAGAACGACTGCCGCACGAGGTGCCCTCGCGTCGAGACATTGGCAACATGTTGAGGTGACTCGGCCCGCTTCGCATGAAACATCGTCGCACGTCTGCCTTCCGAGACGACCAGATTTGACGTGGTCCGGAGTCCGGCCCTTTCTTTTGAGACCACCTCGCAACTCTTGGCTCCCAGACGTTGCGCGAGAGGTGGTGCAGCCCATATCGCTTGAAACATCCTCAGAACTTTTTGGTTCGTGGATACCGTTACCTGACTCGTCCGTGTGAGCTTGCTTACGATAGGCTTGAAGATGCGAGGTGATCCGGTCAGTTTGGCTTGAGACGCCCCCAAACTTATTGACAAAGAGATGCCGTGTGCGAGGGGGTCAGCTAGTTTGGCATGAGACGTCCCCTTAATTCCGAGCAACCGTTGAAGAGTGCGGAGCGACGAAGGAGTGTGAGGAGGAGTAGCAGGATGATTGAGGACGACGGGGAGGAAGGATAGTGCTCGATGCTCTCGGGACACCTCTCGTCGCCAGGGCTGGACTCGGGTCGACTGCGAGATGCCCTGGATTGATTTGCTCTGGCCCGTTTCGCTTGAGAGACATTCTCACAACTCTTTGTTCCAAGACGTAGTCTGTAATGTGCTCAGGCACGTTTCGCCTGAGACATCCTCGGGATCCCTGGCTCCGAGATGCCCTGATTTTAGGCGACCCAGCTGTCAGTGCGCCGCGCTTGAAGGCGACTTTCACCGAGTTGTTCCTGGGTTTGCCCCAGTGTGTACGATGGTGCAGACCTTGCTGGTGGCAAAACGTGCATAGCTCTACCTCTCACCTCACTGTGCGCTGCGCTTAAGGCGCACGCGTCTCTGGGGGTCGTCCCGATTCATTGTGCGGGCGTTGTCCCCCATGGGGTGGGCATATGCGGATACGTCCTCCGGTACGATCATCCCTCCTTCAAGTTATCAGCCTTGGCTTTGCCCTCTGGGCCATGTGACCGTCATCGACACTTCCGGTAGGAAGTTTCATCGGCGAAGTTGCAATCGTGGACAGCTCCCCGACCTGCGTCGGTGGCAACACCCACATGGGTCAACACGCCGATTTCCAACGTCTCCTCCGCAAAGGAGATTCATGAAGCTGCGCCCACCCAGCGGATTGGTGCAACGATTCTTCGTTTCTTCCGAAGCAAATAAAATGGATTACCAAGTTTTTCGGTTTCTCTTTGTTCAGAATTTCTTGCGTCGCCGACCCGCTCCGACATTGGGCATTCGGCGTGCGGCTTGTGCGCAATCTCGTTTCGACGCGTCATTCGAGCGGCGTCGCCCCCGATTTGTTTCCGCGTTGTCTCTCTGCAGCCAGTTTTCTTCAAAATTCAGAGTCGCGTTTTCGGGTATCGTTTCAGTTCGCGGTGGCCTTTTCGTGGGTCTTGCGCGCGTCGTGGGCCGTCTGGAAGCCATCGTGAGTGTCGCGGGCCGATCGTTCGACGATTCGGAGCCCTCTTGGACCGTCTCGGGCGCCTCTTGGGGCCCTCTTTGCATCGCTTTGGGGCGCCTGAAAGCCGCGCCCATGAGAAGAACCATCTTTGGCCCGACCTGTCCGGGGCACTTTGCGTCCGGGGGCCCCTCCGGGCCGCCCCGCGCGCGCGAAGTAGAAATGCTGCGAGGCAGTCGCCGGAGATCTTCGCGCGCCTCTGGCCCGTGGGGCCGGCGAGTCTCCCCCGAGGAGCATGTCCAGCGCGCTGTGGGGCGCGCGACGAACGACTCCTCCTCTCCTCCTCTCCTGCTGCTGCTCCCAATCTTTTTTTTTCCCGCTGCTGCTGCTGGCCTTCCTGCCGCTGCTGCCGCTTTCTCCTCTTTTTTTAACCGTCGCTGATGTTGCGCGGGCGCGCCTGCTTGGCGCGCCTGCGCACTGGACAGGCTTGCGATTCTGCGCCCGCGATTTCGCCCACGATTTCGGCAACACGATTTCGCCCGCGGTTTCGGACACGACTGTGCCAACGATTTTGGACACGATTTTGCTAGCGATTTTCGGCCACGATTCCGCGCCCCCATGCAAGGCCCCACGAAACCACCCACGATTTTGAACACGATTTTTTTCTTATCGATTTAAGGGTGAAAAAAATCGTGGTCAAAAAAGTGCGCCTCCGCGGAAGGGGGCCAAACAAAGTGCGCAAAATCGTGGCCAAGAAAGTGTCCAACATCGTGGTCAAACGGGGGGGGGGGGCAGGGCGCCGCGGAAAGGCGGCGGGGGGGTCGGGGAGGGGGCCAGGGGTTCCCCAGTGACCCCCGCTCGGTTGGAGAGGATGCCCTCGCGGTGGGCTGCGCTGCCTCGCGCGGCGGCTTCGCGATTGCGCCGCCGCGCCCGCGGCCGGCCGTTGAGGCTTCGAAGCCGACGTTTGCCGTCAGGTTCTCTTTTCCGCCACCAGCGCAGCCGCGCGCCGTGGCCCCCAGGGGAGACCGCCGGGGCCTCGCCGCGGTTGCGGTAGAGTCTGGCGCCAGCGGCCCCCGCGCCCGCGGTGGGCCACGCGACGCTACTCCCCAGAAGCGGAGATTGCTCAACTTGCGCGGGCATGGGGCCCAGCCGCCTCTGGCGTCCCGCCAATTCCCCACGTGGCGCCCGCGCTCGAGCGTTTCTTCTTCACGCGGGGTCTCCAAAGTGGCCCTTTCTTGTGTACCGTCGGTCCCGCGCCGGCAGATTCCATCGTAAATCAGCTTGGGAGGTGCTTTTCCCGCGTAAGCGATCGGCCGCGCGCGGCCGGGGCAGCGCCTGGCCTTTAGACGGCTGCGCGCGCGCCGATTCCGCCCGCGTTTCTGCTGCGGTTCGCGCCCAAATTCGCGCGGGCGCTATGCCCGACGATTGCGGAATGAAGCATCATCGCAGCGATGAGTTCCATTGCGGTCACGCGGCGGCCTGGCTCGGGGGCCGCGTTGGTCGCGCCTCCGCGGCTCGCCCGGCGCGATTCAATGGCGGGGGCAGGCGGCGCGCGGCGATTCCCCGCGGTCCAGCTTGAGGGAAGCAACATGTTGGACATTTTCCCACGATGAAATCGTCGCGGCTCCTCGGGGGAGCTCTGCTCGGCAAGAGATATTTGGATTCCGCGCGGGAATGCACGAGTCAGCCAGGAATGTACAACTCAGCCAGCGCCTTTTGCGCCCGATGGCAATCCCTGCGCCGCGTGGCCATGCCGCGCCTCCTCGGCGCGGGCCCCCTCCCCAGCGACTGTTTTGCAAGAGTGTCCATCCAGGCGCCCTCCGCGCGACAGGCCCTTTCCTTCTGCGCGTTCTGCGCGACGCTTCCCCAGGGCCCGTTTTTCGCGATGGCCGTGCGAGGCTTGTTCTCTGCGACAGTCCCCCCTGCTCTTCGAGGCGGCGGCCCTCCCATTCCTTGTCTTGCGCAATGCT